CAAACGTTGTTCCGGAGTAAAGGCTCTGTTATGCATACTTGGCATTGCTTGAGAGTTGTCACATAAGGAATCTGTTAAATGAGCTTCGCGTGTAAGCTGTTACCCAACGCACAGCATTACATACGTAAAAGTCTGTTGGTTTTTGATTTCTACGTAAAAATGGTATAGCAGTGCATGCAATGCCAAGTATGCATAACAGAGCCTTAAGTCTGTTCATTATAAAGTGGCCAACCAAATTGAGTATAAATCAAGTAACAGCTGTCAAAAAGACCAACTCCGAAAAAAGTATTGCTTCATTGAAAACCACACGTCTAAAAAATACCCTTTATCTCAAAAGCATCAGACATCATGCGGCCGGATTCCTAGCTTATGCAGATGACCACTTATTTCTGATAGCGGCTTAATTTCGTTGTCTTTATTCTTCTTATTTGTAGTGGATTTTATCGGCAGGTAAAAGGCTATTTTCCAGCTTTCAGTCTGGCTCGCGCGCTCCGTCCCCTGTGGCATGCGAAAAAGTGGCATCGTCTCTTCGTTGCTGGTAGTATAAGTGTCATTAGCAGGGAACGGATTTTATGGAAATTGCCTTTTTTTCCGCTAAAGAAATATAGTATATATAAGAATGTCCACGATTTAGCTTTCCCTGATTCCATATATACACATTTGATGTTGCCTTTTTTTTGCCTTTTTTAAGATATTTGCCTTTTTTTTGCCTTTTTTAATATATTTGCCTTTTTTTGCCTTTTCTACCTTTAAAAAAGTGATTATAGCATTTACAATTTTTTTTTTTTTAAGATTAAAAAATATACACATGCCCATGCGGCTTATAGAAGCGCAGGGACCTCTTGCCAAATTAGTGTTGAAAAAATTCAAAGCCGTTTTCTCAGCTAACGTAGGCTTGATGACAATAAGGGGTGTGGATAAAATTGTAAAGGGCGAGGGAAACGCCCTTATTCCTGATAATATGAACGTTTCAAACGTTCCATATTTAAATTGGGCTCCCTTGTATCAACTTACGTCGATCGCACATTTAGTACATTCAAGGCTTTTCTTCGCGAAAATCGAATCAAAATGCTGCCAGAAAACTTCAAAATGCATCTTGTGGTTCAATGTTACTACAACTGTACAGATTACAGTTTTATGAGTTGGAAACCCGAAAGGATAAAATAGTCAAAGATTCAAAGTACAAATTTTTCATATAATGAAACTAGTTCATAGTTTTTCTCTTTTTACTTGTAATATAAACATTTCTAAAATAAACGTATTTTTTGATTGTTCTTCGTATTTTCTGTCTTTTTTTTAGTGCCTTATTTTGCTTTTTTTGCAATACCTTTTTTTTTTGCCTGTTCCTGCCTTTTTCGCTATTTTGTTTTGCTTTTTTTTGCCTTTTTTGCAGTACCTAGTGTCTTTTCCTTCCTTTTTCGCTATTTTATTTTACCTTTTCCAGCCTATTTCGTTATTTTATTTTGCCTTTTTTATAGGTTTTTAGGTCCTAAAAATCCGTTCCCTGGTCATTAGGTAGCCTGATTGCTAGCTTGGTTTCTATAGTTTCTCTGTCTAAGGTTTACTGGATCAGAAGGGTCTAAGATAATAAATAAAAATACAGATTTACTTGAAACAATCAGAAAGCAAAAGGTGTGACGATTTTTTAAAATTTCACTTGTTAGAAGCTCTTCAAGGCAAATTTTACACACATAGCAGCTAGCATGATACAATAATTTTTAGAAGGTAGTTTCACTTCAAAATTTTTGACATAAACCGTGTCTGTGACAAAAACGCAATGTGGCCACTGCTACGATATAGAACTTGGGGATTATTGCTTATTATTTTAGATATTTTTTAACAAAACATGTAAAGATTTATATGTTTCATAACTGATCACTTAATTTTTAATATAAATATACGTATTTTGTACATACATTTTTGCCACTGCTAATCACATGAATAAAAATCATAAAAATGAAAATATAACAGCAATATAACGCCAATTTAGATGTGGTCGCTAGTCTTTCCATTGCACCACAACTTATTGGTCAGAGCGATTAAGCTGGTGTAATGTGCGCACCTCCATACATCTTCATGTACATATTTCAAGCGAGCCCTATAATTTAAATAGGCGGCCGATAAAGTCTGTGGTGTGCGGTGGCTCTTATAGCTGTGTCCTTACATCTATTCCGTGTGTTGCAATATCCACGAAAGCAGCGGTTAATTTTTTATGAAGAAAATTATTACAAAATATTCGAAAATTTCTCTACTTATATGTTCGGCTTTTCTTTGTTTTATTTTTCCAACGTCAAAAGCTGGATTTTTTTTTGAAAAAATTGGTACAACAAAAAATACGAAACACGTTTTCTGTCAGATAGCTAACATGGCGGATAAGAAGAAGAAGTGAAACTACCTTCTAAAAATTATTGTATCATGGCAGTTAGCTCAGCACCTATTGAACGAGTTTTTTCTGTGTCAGGCAGAATTCTAGAAGAAAGACGTACACGACTGCTTGGTGATAAACTCGACAAAATATTATTTTTAAACAAAAATATGAGCTAGTCATTTTAAAATTACATTGAGTGAATATTGATGTTATTATTTTCTATACTCGTAAGACATACATACATATGTACATATCGTCACCTGAAATGCAAAAAGACGCAACAAACATCATCGTTGAAATGCAAAAAGTCATAACTAATAAAAAATTCAAAATTCACGTTTTGATTTATTCATATAAATCATTGAATTACAACTACCCACATCATTTTAAGAAAAAAAAAATAATTAAAATATTAGTCACGACTGTTTCCATTTAATTTACGATGTTGTTACGTCTTTTTGCATTTCAGGTGACGATATGTAGGTACGTATATCTGACATTTGTAAAAAAAAAATACTAGTGCGTTCATCCCAGGCACGGTGTTTGGCCAATCTTTTGTAACAATATATATAAGAAATTCTATTTATATAAATAAAGTTTCAATTAAAAAAAAAAATAATAATTATGTCCGTGAAAAAGCGTGCGTGAGCGTGCGTGATTAAACACCTAGGCGTCGTGAGGGTGCTTGAAAAAAATATAACAGATCGTGAGTGTGAGTGATTTACAAAACCATCAACGTGAGCGTGCGTGAACGTGAGCCAAAATCGCTCACGCGCCCATCTCGAATTTTTACAAACATGCAACCTCAAAAACATGAACCTGCTTTTACCTTTTCTTTTTTAGTGTTGGGTTTCCCGGTGAAAGAAAAGTTGTAAAGCAAAATCTAATTTACTAATCTAGTTTAGACGCCTTGCTAAATTTTTCAAAAGGCCGCACTGTTTTTAATGAGGGGCGTCTATTTGATCATTTTAAGACCTGAATCTTTGTAATCCGTCCTATAAAATTTTGGCCATCGTACTCTACCGGTAGACGTGAAACCGGTGAAATGAATTTTACGCCGTTTCCCGATCGCGATCTATCACTGTATTTCCCGTTCCCGATCGTGATATAATTGTCGTAAAAAAAAATGTTTTTATAAAATGTATGGAGTATAAAATTCTCTACAACTTTGGAATTTCAATATGCTACGTTTTTTTTAAAGAAATTGTTGAAAAATGGCGAAAACCGTGGCAATGTACAATTTTTTCGCAGTTTTTGTTAATTATTTACAACAAAAAGTGTTTTTTTTTCAACATTCTATATAGGAAATGTGGGAAAATAAATTATGTACAAATTTGTATAAAACCTTTTTTTACGAAAAATGCAAAATAAGCTTGCAAATTGCAAAACCTAAAATCCAAAATGGCGCAATGTTGAAATTTAGGGGCAAGACTGTGGATCCTTGATCTACGTGTCAAATAGAAGTAAACTGCATAAAAAAAATTGCTGTTACAATTTTTTTTTCATACCAAATTTATCTAATTTTACTGGGCTATTAGCAAAAGTTTAATAATTTTTGGAGGGCTTTAATTTACTGATATTAGGATGATACGGTACATAGATCTGGCGGGAAATTACTAGAACGGGGTACTTGAGGTCAATGCACTTTGGAAGAAAAAACTTTTTTTATACCTGAACGCACTTGTGCACAAGGGTATTATAACTTTCTTCACATAACAGTTAATTGTAACAGCCAAAACGAATCTAGATAGATATAGACAATCGCATACATATGTTAATGCTCAGAATGAAAAAAAAATCGATTAAGAAGTGACTGCTTGTCCGTTCGACCTTCTGTACACACGATAACTCCTGTAAAAATTGAGATATCTTAACAAAATTTGGTATGTGTACTTCCCTTGATTTAAGGACGGATAGTATTGATATATTAGTAACTACTGAAGTTTATTTACTCAAAATAGATATTTTAAATGATCTCTTGGCGGTATATAAGAATATTATAGATTTTTCGAAAATGGGCGTAGCCCCGCCCACTTATGGTTACTTGGCGCAGTTGTTGATCCTGGTAAAAATGTTTAAAATCGAACAATAACCACGCCCACATCCTATATACGGTACTTTAGAGAAATACGAAATATTCGATAAATCAGTAACTACTGAAGCGAATTTATTCCAAGTTGATGTTTGCAATGATTTTTTTTAGTAAAAAATACGTTTATAACAAATTTTGGGAAAATGGTCGTGGCACCGCCCACTTATCACCACATATGTGTATCTCGGTAACCGCTCCAACGATTTGTACCAAACTCGGTATAACTATTGTATTTGTCAAATGAAAGCAAGGCGTAGAAATGGTTAGATTTCGATATTTTGAAATTAAAGGACGTCAATATACTCAAAGTTGATACTCACAACAATCTCTTGAAAAGAAATAACATTATTATGAAACTTATAACTGTATAAGTTTATCTCATGAAGTCTAAATGAACATTTATCGAAGATGTTTGAAATAGGGGTAAAACCTACCCTGCTTTCCATGTAACGGTAGTTTTCGGAAAGGTGGAACAACTGTATTTAATACTTTTCATGTCTTTGAATTTATTAAATTTATTTTTATTTACTTCTCTTTTAGGGCTACACATCCTTTTGGAATGATTGCATATCGAGCGGCCTACGTGGTTGCATTCTCATTGAGCTTGGATTACGCGGTCGCGTCATGATGGAGAAGACAGGCATGCGTCGACGCAGCTTGTGCTCCAGGTAAAGTAAATGCAAAGTACTTCAGAGACTTTGATATAATATGTATAACGTAAGATACAAAAAAACATTTAATTTCTATTAAAAAATAGCTATAGTTATCGGTGCTTCGAGCGTTTTCGGAACCGTTTTAATAATTATTAAATAAGTAATTATCGGTATCGTATTTAAGATCACTTTGCCTGTTATCAAGCAAGCTATTGTCATGACATCTCTATAAAAATATTATTGAAACTATAGTCGATAATTATCGTTATCGATAGTTATCCTTATCCATAGTTATAACTATCGATAGTTTGTCGTTATCGATAGTTGGTTCTTATCGATAATTTGTCGTTATCGATAGTTTATCGTTATCGACAGTTTGAATTATCGATAGTTATGGTTATCGATAGTTATCGGTACTTATAGTTATCATTACCCATAGTTGTTATTGATATCGTCATCGATAATTTGTCTTTACCGATATATATAATTATTAAAAGTTATTGTCATCGATATTGGGTTATAGTTATCGATAGTTATCGTTATCAAGTATCAAAGCTAATATCGTTATTAGTATTAATGTCGTTCAATGTTATCGTTATCAGTAGTTATCGGTATCAGGTTGTATGTTTACAGATATCACGTACGTTTTTTTTACACACGAGTTAGTAAAAGTTCGTTACAATTTTACTGGCTGGTGTTTTCGTACGCAAAAACTTGCAATGTAGGGTAAATTGAGAGAGCGAAAATTACAGCTTATGTGGAGGGGTAGTTGCAAGTTTTGCAAAATTTTTGCTGGATTAATTTTTACCTGCAACTATTTGTTAGTAGGTGCCTCGTAGTCAAAATAAGGACAAGCAATGAAATTTCTAAGAATTTGGTAGTTTTCTCTCTCAATGGGAGATGCTTGCAAATGTTTAAGTTTTTAAATTTAACGAACTTTTTTATAAAATTACTGTCGAAAAAAAAATTATAATTTTGTTCTCTCAATTTTCGCATCCTTAGAAGTTTATTGGACATCGCAAACGCGATTTGACAAAAATCATGATAATTTGTAACAATTATTTGCATCACGAACATAACTATAAATTCGACACTAAAGTTTGTTGAAGTTTTTTGATATAATTTTTATTCGACTGTGAATAAATATGCCCCTCTAAGTTTAAAGCTAAACTACGGGACAACTAATGCCGGATGTCCGCTGGGCATTAACTCACGAACAAAGTTTATTGCCATAGCTGGGCTTTAAAAATATCTGTGACAACACGTCAGTAAAAGAAAATAATAATCATCTAAATGCACAATTCATTTTCTAAAAGTCGAAATTTTTTGCCATTTCTATGCCTAGTATACATGCTTCATAATGAAATTCAATGCATTGTCGTCATTAATTGCGTCTTTAAAATATGTACATCTACAATATTAAATTTATCAAACTTCCTATGTTTTAGAAAACTCATTTTAAAATCAGATCAGCCGACCGGCGATGTTCTGCTCGACGAAGCACTCAAGCATATTAAAGAAACAGATCCACCAGAATCTGTGCAAAGTTGGATTGAATATTTGAGTGGTAATTTAAAATCAAGCAAAGTTGATTGATTTTATTTGAATTCAATTATTTACTTACACCATTTTTCAGGCGAAACATGGAACCCTTTGAAATTACGGTATCAATTAAAAAATGTACGCGAACGATTGGCCAAGAATCTGGTGGAGAAGGGTGTGCTTACGACAGAAAAGCAAAATTTCCTACTTTTCGATATGACAACACACCCGCTCAGCGATAATGTGGTGAAATGCCGTTTGGTGAAAAAGGTGAGTTGCAAACAAATCACAAAATCGACTATTGGATTTTTTTTTCATTTCCTTCGCTGTTCTCGCTTTCAAAATAGATACAAGATGCCGTGCTTTCCAAGTGGGTCAACGATCCGCAACGTATGGATAAACGTATTTTGGCCTTAATATTTTTGGCGCACGCCAGTGACGTAATTGAGAATGCGTTCGCGCCGCTAAACGACGATGACTATGAGTTGGCCATGAAACGTGTGAGAGAATTGTTGGACTTGGATTTTGAGGCGGAGGCGGCCAAACCGAATGCAAACGAAATACTTTGGGCAGTTTTTTTGGCATTCAGCAAATAAGATCCTGTTTATACGCATCTGTATTCTTATGGGATCGAATGATGATAAGCAATCGCGTTATCTGCCAATGCCACATTTATATAGTTACACAAAAAAAAGATACATACATACACAATTTAATAGTATACAGATAATGCAGAGCCCAAAGGAAAAAATAAATGAATAGATTTTTTCTAACATATGAAAATAATTACGATAAATAAATATATAAATATTATAAATATGATGTATTTTTTTTTCTTGTGCAAATCTTTACTTTTCCATTATTTACCATTGTTATATAAAAAAAAATTATGAAAATAAATATATACATACATATTATGAATATAGAGAGAAATTTTCGAGAAAAATTGGAAAAAAAATTTGAATAAGTACGTATTTTAAACTAAAGTCATGTCAGCAATGAATGTTGAAATTTGTGAAAAAGTGAGCAAAATGATAACACACGCACTTACATACATATGAAAAATAAAAGCGTTTAAATTGAAGAGCCAGATGTATAAGCTAAACGTTTTTGTATAGTTAATATAACAGTTATAAAATCTATTTCACACAAGGTAAAGAGAATGAATATTGCATGAGAAATTGGTAAAGTCTGTAAGAAAATAGTTTGTGTGAAATTTGTGATGGTTTTTTTTGTTTTTTTTTTTTTTTTGAAACACTCCAACCGTATTTTTGCGCATCACTAGAAGTTTTAGCTCCACTAAATGTTTGTCTCAGCGTTAGCCAGAAAAAATTAATAAGCAGCATTAAAAAGTTAAAAAAAAAAATTTGAAGACAAAAATACTGCATAGAACTGCATGACAAAGTATAAAACGAGAAGCTAAAAGGGATTAGAAAAATAATCAATTAATTTGAAATTTTGCTATTCGCCGACTTTAATGTTAAGATATTATTGAATTCGTATTGCAACTGACTCACAATTTGTTTTAATTAAATATGTATGTATGTAGTTGCCTGACGCTTTTATTGATACATATACAAAAAGTTTTTAAAATTAATAAATGCTTAAACAGATTCCTAAATTTGTTCCATTTCCAGGCTAGCTACTATGTATTAAGTATACAAAATTTTGTTTTTTTTTTTTTTAATAAATATTTTAACTTAGCAATTTATATTTATATGTATGTACATATATGAAAAATTATTATTAAAGAAAAAAAAACGATAAATCTTTTATACACCGTATATGCACTTGATAAAAGAAATTGCTAACACTACAAAAACTGAAAAGCAACAGTAACCAACTAAGCTATTACAAAAAAAAAAACGATTACACTCACTCACACACCATACACAAAACTAAAAAAAAAAATCTGATGTCTTTTATGCAAAAACTTGCAATTAGAAAATTTGTATACATAGCTAAATACCTAATTGTGTGTACATATATATATGTACATATTTAAGTACATACATACATACAAAGTACACAATCATATACATGAATGCAAGCATTTTGAGCATATATGTATGTACGTTTGTCTTGATGCACACACTTATTTACACACACACATACATCGGACATACATAACTACTGAGCATAATATATGTATGTACAACATAAATACAGTATGTAATTAAAAAAGCGAGTCTTAATTATCGAAATAAATTTAAGACAAATAATTAAATTGAGTAATAAAATATATTTGACAGGTACATACATACATAGTATATAATACACAAAAAAAAAAAACTAAAAATATGTACCATTTATTTGTGTTTCTTGGTTATGCCGATCGCTGAGGGATATTTGTCGACAGGTTTGTCTCCTTATAAAATATGACAAATGATAACGGAAGATCGTTTTAAAATACATCGACAATGAGATATTAGAAAACCACCAAGGTGTCTAAGAAGCCCCCGCAAACATATTCAGAGCGTTCAGAATATATATATTAGAGTCCGAAAGGAGTCCTATGTGGGTAAGAAATATGAGCAGAGTCCAATATGACTCATATCGAGGCTCATTTGATGTATGAATTTAAGCTCATCTACATACTCACATAAGTCGACGTTCGGATGAAGGGAAACACCCTCGGATCGGACTCTTAAATGCGCTCATTATGAGCGTAGAGGCTCCGAAATAGGACACCGCAAAGACTCATTTCTGACCCCAAATGTTTGCTGGATCCATACATACTTAGTCTGTTCCTTTGAACTTCGGACTAAAACCTGTGGAACTGTCGAAACTACAATTTTACTATCTCAAGTGAGAGTAAAAGGAGTGTGAGAAATTAGTATGATTCTTATTGTGTTAAGTATGTCCAATCAT